GCAGCGCACTTGGGAGGGGGGGAGGAGGCAGGGGTGGGGGCAGCGGGAGCTTGGCTGCCGGTGGGTGCTGAGCACCCGCTAATTTTTCCCCATGGGTGCTCCAACCCCAGAGCACCCACGGAGTCGGTGCCTATGGCCCTGACCCTCTTGGCTAACAGCCATAGTCAGACCTATCCTCCATAAACTTAGCTAATTCTTTTTTGAACCCCATTATAATTTGGCCTTCACAACATCTCCCGTGGGCAGCAGGTGGAGCCACCCTTTGGGGAGGCTAGCCCCGGCTCCACCCCTTCTGCCCACGCCCCCCTGCCCCCCCGCGGCCAGAGCCCCAAGAACCCCCCTCCTGTCCAGAGGAGGCCTGAGCACCCACTTGTCAGCCAGATGAGTCCTGGGCCAGCCGGAGCCCCGAGGGACCCCTCTCCCCACACACACACCTGCTCGGAGGTGCCCCAAGACTCCCCCCCCCCCCCCGGCCCACAGGGCGCCCCGGCCCGCCGCCCCCCCCCCCCCCCCCCCGACCCCAAGCTGCGTCTCTCTGGTCCATCTCTCTGCTATGCCCCATGCAGGTTCCAGGGCGGCTGAGGAGGCAGTATATGTTACTCAGCTTCCTGGGTTCCTCAGTAATCTCCCTTGACTCCCCAGGCCTATTATACTTGCCACCCATGACATCCCCTGGCAAGGAGTTCCACAAGTTGACAGTGCGTTGTATGAAGAAGTACTTCCTTGTGTTTGTTTTAAAGCTGCTGCCTATTAATTTCATTGGGTGACCCCTGGTGCTTGTGTTATGTGAAGGGGTAAATAACACGTCCTTAGTCACTTTCTCCACATCATTTGTGATTTTCTAGACCTCTCTCATATCCCCCCTTCAGTAGCGCTGGAACGCTTTTTATAGGGGGCGCTGAAAGCCAGCAAAACGATCCCCACGGCTGGCAGCTGGGATTCAGCATAAACCTGGGGGTGCTGCAGCACCCCCCGCACGCCTACTTCCCATGCCTATGCCCCTCTTAAAACCGAACCCTCCCAGTCGTTTCAATCTCTCCCCATGTGGAAGCCGTTCATACCCCTAATCCTTTCTGTTGCCCTGCTCTGTACGTTTTCCAATTCCAATCTATCTTTTTTGAGACGTGGCGACCAGAACTGCCCGCAGTATTCAAGGTGCGGCTGACCTGTTGACCCCGTTCTGCCAGAGCCAGCCCCTTGCCAAGGGAGCCTAAAGGGCTTGGAGCTCAAAGAACAGCAGGCTGGAGCCTTGTTGAGAAATCCCAGGCCACTAGCCTCAGCACACAGCCCTCCGAGCAATCCACACTAGAAACTCCAGTCAAGCAGGCACATGGCAAGCACACAACAGAGTAACAGATTATCCGCTCCCCCAAGGGCCACGTAGTCGCTCCTCCTTCACCTGGAGAACTCTCTCACACAACTCCCTGTGTCCTAGCTCTGCCGGTGCCCCTCGATCCCGACCCCCAGTTCCTGCTACCCCAGCCCTGGGCTCCCCCCACAGCCCTGCCAGTGCCCCTCAATCCCGACCCCCAGCTCCTGCGACCCCAGCCCTGGGCTCCCCCCACAGCCCTGCCAGTGCCCCTCAATCCCGACCCCCAGCTCCTGCGACCCCAGCCCTGGGCCCCCCCACAGCTCTGC